CATTAAAGAAGAGAGACTGAGATCACTGAACAAGATCACACCTATCAATTAGTCCTAAATATGGTGGCTTATATCAGCTAACAATGATTTGGAAAGAAGCATACAAGAGTTGTAAAAAATGGTGAAAACAAAATTCAGTTTTGCAGAGATATTTAAAAGTTAAACTTACTGTAGCACAGTAACTAGAGGAGTTCTGAGTGAAGGTCTCAAAACTATTAGGGGTTTTGATAAACTACTGATAAAGGTATTTATATTTATAGAATTAATATGGTAGATAAGGAACAGACGTGAAATGCAGAAACTTTTATTTACCAATTAGAATTGTTAAGATGTGGACTATTTTGTCTAATAATGTGGTGTTTGAGTTTTTGTCGAACAAGTACAGTAAGACATAAAAATAAGAAATTAATAAATAACATAGTTTATTTAATTCATCTATAAAACTTCCTAATCTGTACAAATAAATGTACGTAGTTTTATTTTTGTACTATCAACATATTTTATTACATGTTCAGATCACTCAAGTAGTAGTATTCATAGCATCCTGGTTTGAGGAGGTCCGAGTCAACTTGTTGTCACCATGCTCATTGTTGTACGTATCTATGTGCGTGTTCCAAATTTACATATATATATATCAAATAAAGATTTTTTTTTTATAAATACAATATTTAATATACATTACTTTCCACACAATATTTACAAGAAATGGAAATCTTTATTCACTATTATATTTTCAACTTTGATATCAACTTTACAAACCTGTTCCACCAGCTACGTCCAGAAGTTTTGTACCAGGAGTTGGATGCAGAACTTGAATAAAATAGTCCTTCCATAACCTGTGAATTCCACCACTCATCACATCATTCATCAAGTCATATCGTGTGGCAACATTACTGAACACAGAACGGACTGAAACAATAAGCTACATTTCAAACCCCCTAAATTCAAAATAAATCTATTCTTTATTTTCTATAAATACCATCCTTAATTTAAAACAATTATTTTCTTCCAAGTAATAAAAAATAACTATTAGAATACTTTTCTGCATTCTTTAAATGTTTTTTGAGTTTTCGATGCTATCACAATCGGCCTGGGAAGAAGACTGTTCCTGGGTTGATTTCTAGTTTGACGAATTTAAGAAATAATTAGAGACCTAAACATTTACCCATAAGAAGACTTAAGGCTGATGATATTCAAAAAGTTGGACTAACAGGTTTTTGTGAACTTTCTTTAACTATAGTTTGAAAATGGAAGATTTAATATTATGATTAATATTTAGAAAAAAAAACGTCTGCAAACAGATGTAATTTTTATAGTAGTAAACAGATATGTAAAAAGTAACTTAAAACTTTAGGGAAATTATAAGACTACAAAGTATGTCCTACTGGTATCAATATGAATGTTAATGTAAATAAAGAGCTACAATTCACATTTCTCCACTATAAACAAACCTTGGTCTAATGTGTACACATTGCATAAAAACCTACTTCAAACTAATGCACTAGAAACACATTCTGACATACAGACTGAAATCATCAAGTTCTTCGCATACTGATATTTCACACTAACAAACATATCACATATTAAAAAACCATTTGTATATAGAACTTTAACAAAAGTTGAAATTAAAAGTTTTAGTAGTTAAACTCTAAATAAATAAACATAACTTTTATCAGATGTAGAAGGGCAAAAAAGTCCATCCCATGGAGCTTTAAATAACAACAGAAGGATAAATAATACAAAAGGAATGATGAAAAGTGCACAAATGCAGACAAAATATATTTTTCTCTATTACATTTGTTTGACCACCACCATATCTTTGATAATATTTATCCGTGTCATGTTTAAGCCTACGGTTTAGCTATTTAATATTTCTTTAAAGACGGCTTTGATAGTTTTATAAATATATTCACTTTACGATCGTCGCACACTTTATATTACTTCACGTAATACAGATTTTACTTGTGGTCTTATGAACTTTTACCCGTGACCTTACATATCTATTTAAAGTAACATTTTTCCAGAAATTATGTTTAAATTTAGTCTAAATTTTAATGCAAATGGTTGGTGCAGTTCCTTCTTCATCATTTAAATTCTTTTCAGTTCATCATAATATAGCATTATCTACATTGTATTGTAGATACAACCTAATATCCTATTTGCCCTACCATTAGAAATGGCACACTGCTTGGATGGCTTAAGAGACTGAACAACCATTACACCAAGATCCCTTTCTTTCATGAGATTATTAAGGTTATTCCAATCCAAATTATAATTATAATTCAAATTATGATGACCCACTTGCATTTTTTATAATTAAAACCCATTTACCATTTATTTGCCCAACTCACTAAATGATCTAAATCCTTTTGTAAATCAGCAGCATCCTCTTCACAGCTAGCAATTTATTGACCATTCGTTCATCTATGTCATTGATGTAAATCAAAAAGAGCAAAGGTCCAAAGACCAAGCCCTGAGGTACCCCACTTGTGACAATAAATTATTAATTCAGTTTGACAATGAACTCCATTTGTTTAATCTTATATCAAAATAAATTCAGGTATTTACTAAAAGTTTCAGCCTTTCTTTTCAGTTCAGTAATAAAACTTTAAAATATACTTATAACTTGCCTTTCTTAGCTTTTTCCTTTTCTTTAACGCGCTCAAATCCAAAATGCGTCTCTGCATCGTCTTCATTTTCTTGAGATATCTCGTTTTTATTCGATGAAATATCGGTTTCTTTCGTATTAGTTGCTATTGATGACTTTCTGAAACACATTACTGAGTAGCTTGGTAAATTTAAAATATTTCTAAGCGGATGCCGAAACCGAGTTATATTAACTAACTTAATAACAATACAAGGAAATTTAGCTACACTTAACGCCATTATGAATTATCTGTTAACCTTTATTATTAATAAAATTACTGCCATCTGATGGGCAAAATAAATATAATTTTATATATAACTGAAAACCAAATAGTTAAAAAAGAAATTTATTGTAATTTATGTTTATGACACTTATTTAAAAGTATGATAAACTGGCAAAAAAAAAACGTTATTTTTCGACAGTCATTTATAATGTTTTAATTATTACGGTATAATCGCCTCTAGGTAGTAGATATATTATTATGTTCTTCTTATTTGCAAGCCGTGGTGTAGGGTAAAAGAAAAATGTAAAAAATAATAATGTTAATCTAATTATGATCTAATGTTACATTAATTACCGACTAATAGATCACACTTAGCCATTATAAGGGTTATTTATTTTTTATTTGTTTGTTGATAATTTCTGCTTATCGGGGTATTGATACCCGATTTTTAGCGTTATAAGCTCACACACTTAACGCTGAACAACCGGGGGTGTGGGTGGTATTATAAGGTGCCATATACGATTATGATGAAAAAATAGGACAATTATTTTTAGTAATCACATATAGGCCTAGAAATTTTAGCTGTAAATTCAACGGACCATTAATTAGTAAAATTTGAATTCAACAGTATTAAATGTAATAACACTCCCAAAGTTACTTTACTCTTTTGAGATGGCGCTACGTACTAAAAATGGCATCCTCCTGTAGTATAATCAGAAATGATAAACTGTTAGATCATCAAAAGGAAATTTTAAAGTCTTGTACGCTGAAATTAGAAAATCTGAAAAGAGGAAATGAAGATATCCAGAAAAGTGAAATAAATACAACTCTTGATGAACTGAATGGACTGACCTACACGATAGTCTTTTTCAGTACTGAGGTGGGCTAAACTTCGTCTCATTTTTAATTTTTAAAATCTATGAAATATAATTGTAACTTAAAATTTAAATAATAAGCAAACTGGGTAACCTAATATTATTAAACACATTAACAATTAAAAATTTTTAAATATTAAACATTCCCATTTTCACATGAGAGGCCTATTTTTATAACTTATAATTGTTTATGTTTATTTTTAACATCAATAACAGTTCCTCTTCAACTTTAAGTTAAAGTTCTACTTTTAGGCTCGGTGGACCTCCTCCTTTCAGTCAGAGATCTGTCATTATGTGGTCCACAGTTGTTGGCATAGAGCCTAAAGAAGAACGAGATGGGTTTCAAATGTACTCCCATTGCTTCACCATTAACTTCAAGGATCTATGCAAATAGTGAAGCAATTATAGGATAGTAACTGAGTTCAAATTTTTTAACTATTGTTTCCAAAAACAAGTGTTATGATAGCAGAATCAGTGACTTTGGTTTGGACACTTCTAGAAAGTGTTTTATTTTATTCTGTGGTCACTTTCTTACTGCTAAACAATTATTAACTGCCGTGGTTTATTTTTTCCATTATTGTTAGATTCCTAAGGGTTCTAGCCAGTTTTAGAGACATTTGATCCAGTTAGAACACTGTCTGTTTATTACCACCGTCTATCATCTACCACAGTTTTTTAACTGTTAACATTACATAACAACTAATGAACTTTTTGTAAGATATCACTTTACACCATGAATATATTGCCACCACGGTGTGAATTACTTTATTGGCTCACTACTTTCAAGCAATTTGTAGTTTTATATAAAAAAAAAAATAGCAAAATAAATTTTAGTTAGTTTAATTAAATTTCAATTATGAGGGTTTTAAACATATCTTTATTTTATATTATTTTTTTCTTTAAACAAAGTTCAAGTGATGTGTAGAGACTTGTTACTTTTTATAGCAGCAGTTATTCTCAGAGAAGATACGAGTTGGTGAAAAAGCTTATTCTTGTATAGTCTTGAAAAGCGTTTATTTCCAGTTGTACATGGATACGTTACTTCTTTTTTTTGTTATGTGCAGAATATTTATTTAGAAGTATTGTGGCATTATTTGGTCTTTTTCAATACTTTCATGTTTGTGAGTGTGCAAGCAGTACATCAATATTCAGTACAAAGTTCATTTATAGATCATGTACATATAGCTTACTACTGTTTCGAGTTGGCAACAATAATTCTTAGAAATCTCTTGTACGTATGTTAGGCATAGTTGCTATTTGCAGGAACTCTGTTTTTGTTTTTATCTTTTTTTTTTGGTATTGTACCAAAAAGAACAAATTTTCAAAACTCTCTAAATATGTACTGATGTTTCTTGTTTATACATGCTAGGATTGTTTAGTAGTATTGGCTTAGTTTTTAATTTAAATGTTTTATATTTTTATTTTAAACTATTAAATGATTGAATTTTTAATACAACAAAAGTTTAATCGTATATTTATTTTAAGACCTGAAGAGTAATTGTTATGCTGGAGAAGTATTCTTGTGAACTGTATTTCCAATAAAATGAAGGCCCGTGGAGAAAAAAATATATATTCATGAAAACATGTATATACAGGATATAATGGATAAAGTGTGATAAATAATATCTGTGAAAGTGTATCAAATGTTTCATTAACTAATATCTTTGAATTATTGTATACATTTGATAATCTCATTGATCATTTTCTAAAGGATGTTGCTTTATATTTACAGGAAGCAGAAAAACTCCTTCAGATGTGTTTCTTTCACATTCCTTTCACAAGTGAACATCTTGTTTCTAAGTTGTGTCATCTTTTAACTAATATCCTCACCAAGCAACAGGTACTGTGATAGACATATATAATATCTATAGCATTTTCAGTCAGTGAGAATGCAGAGATGGGCTATATTTGTTTTATGTTAGATTCATGTATACACCACCGGAGGTGAAACTACATTTAAGTAGATATTTTAACAAAAGAAAAAACTATTTTATTGTTAACATCTATAGACCTGTTGGTCAAAGTATGAAAAAAGAAATTCTTATAGGACTACCTAAGTTCTTAATGCCCTGTAAAAATCTTAGCTAATGTGCATTTGTAAACATACCAAATACGCAGTTGAAGAGCTTCTTCCCTAACAATTACCTTTGGTGATCCTTAAGTAGTTTGATCTTGGATTATCAAGCAGCATACTCTAAGGAATTCTGACAGTGATTATTTTTTTACATGAATTGTTCTAAGAATGGTATAGAAGTAATGCTCAATAATAATGGGTTGGTACAATTCAACATTGATTAAAATTTATAAACAAAATACATCATTTAGTTTAGTATGATTTTTTTTTATGAATTAATAACTCTGTTAATTAATGCAAAGAAAACAATTTTAACATCAGTATATTTAACATTTATCTATAGTGTGCTTCAGAAGGAACAAAGTTTTTCTGTATATAGTTTTATACTTATTAACTTTATCCAGCGTGAGAGTCGAGCGCTTGGACCACCAGGCCATGCCAGGCTAGGCCTAAATGAGACTAACTGACGAATGGGAATAATTAAAAAGTATAAATCATCAAAGAAATGGTTTGTATAGGACAACAAAACAAGATGGAAAAAGGTGTTAACCAACAGAAGAACAATGGAGCAATGAACTCTAAAATTTAAGCATTTTAATCAAATATTAAAGGCTTGTAATATCGTGGAAACACCACAATATTTTGGAGAATATTAATGTTTTAGTACATTATTATATTCTTTTGAAATTTACTCTAATAAGCCAGAATTCCTTGTTAAAGAACTTGGTAAGCGATACCAAATATTTATTTCTGACAGGTGGAATGCAGATCTGAGTTTCTACACGCATGTCTTGGCTACTTCACTAGAGCTTTACAGATTTGTGGAACTTGGGTTACATCTGACATATTGGACACCTTGGCTGTTTTAGTAGCTGATAACGTAGGAAGAATAGAGCAGGTATCTGTTGCATTTTGGGTATAAACTAAATATATACTAGTAATTTGTTAAAATGGTGTTAATTTTCCAGAGCAGCAAGCTAGGATTTTCTTCATGTGGTGCCTATAAACAACTTGAGGCACCACCTGATGAGGAGTTGTGGCTCGAAACGTTGTCGTTATTCCAAAATAAGTTTATATTCTTTCTATGTGCTGTTGGTAACAGTTTTACTGAACTATCTGTATGGAACTTTTTCCATTATATTTGTTCAATGAAACATATTATGTCTGTTTTGAATATTTCTAAAAAAAAAACCGAACAATAATTTATATGTTAATAATGTTTTAGGTACCATAGCTTAAAAGAATTAATCATCACTGTAAAATTTCAGAACACAGAGGTAGTTTCTATGAGTTTCAGTTTTAGAGACATTTGATCCAGTTAGAACACTGTCTGTTTATTACCGCCATCTATCATCTACCACAGTTTTTTAACTGTTAACATTACATAACAACTAATGAACTTTTTGTAAGATATCACTTTACACCATGAACATATTGCCACCACGGTGTGAATTACTTTATTGGCTCACTTCTTTCAAGCATGATATTGAGTATTGTATGTCAGCTCTGTAGCTTAAGTTAGAAATGTAAATATAGCTTTATTCAGTTGTTTAGTTGTAGTCCTATCTACTGCAATAAGCTGATTTTTGAAAAATATTTCAAACAAACAAAAAAAACTAGAAAATGACATAAAGTTATTCTTTTAATTATCTTTACCACAAAGGAAAGGGTTATTGAAACTAGTTTAAAAATAGAATGTTTAATTCTGTCTAACATCATCTTTTGAATTCCAGATATTGATGTATCTAATCTTTATTTATCCATTTCTCTACATTCAGTTTTAGACTGATCTATAACAGTTTGTCAAAATGCATTAAAATAAAGTTCTGAATAGTTTTAGCACGCTGATTACCTTCCGTCAATAATGTTAAATTTAGTTTTAGCACGCTGATTACCTTCCGTCAATAATGTTAAATTTAGTTTTAGCACGCTGATTACCTTCCGTCAATAATGTTAAATTTAGTTTTAGCACGCTGATTACCTTCCGTCAATAATGTTAAATTTATTTTTAGCATGCTGATTACCTTCCGTCAATAATGTTAAATTTTTCATTAAAGATGTCTTGACAAATATTTTAGATAGATGTCATTAGTTGGCAGTAACGAAAACACCAAAACTTACATCTGTTAGTGAATATACAGTAGTATATTTATCAGATTATTTTGTGTTTTTTTTTTATCAGTACTGGGAAAACTTAATTGGTCCACAAGGAAGTCTTCTTGTTTTTGTGAGTCCCACTTATCCAGATCCTAATATATGTTTAAGTTCTCTGAAGTGCTTACAAAATTTCACTCTAAGGTGAGTATGGTAAATGGGTGCTATTGGTTTATCATTAGTTGTCAATTAAGCTATAGTCTGAAATTTTGGAACAGATTAAAATACAAACCATTCTGAACTAAACACTAACTTACTGAATTCAATAAGCAAGTCTTCAAATTTACATATTTTACTTTTTATAATCAGGATTTTTTTAGTCAGAAATTATTGAAATATTAAGGTAATTAAATCATGTTTCATGTTTTGACAGTCAGGTTACTGTAAAAATAATTTTATATTGTTATTATATTAGTATACAAATCTATATAAATGTTGTGGTACCTGAAGCTGTATTAATATATTGTTACACGTAGCTGTATTAATATATTGTTACACGTAGCTGTATTAATAACATCCTCATTACACCATTTCCAGTAACACTTTATAAAAATTAGTGTTAAGTTAATCATTCATTCTGTGATATATTTAACACTCACCTTTAAACCTCCAAGAACGTCACCAACTCGAGGTGAAGGCACTTTTTTAAGACCAAACACCACATTCTGGATTCCTCTTAATACAAGAATTAACAACTGCATGATAAAATGGAAAATATTCAGGTTACAACTATGTTAACAATGATTTTTAGAAGCTTCAATCTGAAACAAACTTCTAACACAATACTTTTAAAAATTACGTTTATCTGAAATTACATTTTCTAAATATTATATTATTCTAAAAGAACTCACGAGTCCATTAAATGTCATAAAAAAAAATAAAAATGATACTCTAACATCCCTAATATTGTTGTCAATAATAAATAATTCTCACATCTGTTCTATAAAAGATTTTGTTTGATTTTAACTAATTACTATATTTCTGTGACTGATATGTTAACATTTAATTAAGTCTTGTTTAATATTATGGGAGCAGCAGGAGTAAATAAAACTTTAACATCTTCTAGTTTTGTGACAGATGGTTCAACTCACATTGAGACTACTTACTTTACACCGTGTTGTTTCATCAACCGATGTCCTTGAAGTAAAAAGATTATCAAGCAAGAGAGAAAAACAATTACCAATCCAATCATCTGGAGGATATGGCTCATCCTGGGTTCTGAAACACATAAATATCATTGAAATTGAACCAAAAATGTTTCAAAACACCAATATGTAGAGGAAACCTCTATATTAATACAGCTTCGTATACCACTGTATTAATACAGCTACGTGTAACAATAAGATCCAACTTCAGAGTAATTCGTTACTTATAAACTATTAACTTTT